TAATAGTTGTGAAAGTTAAAGATATATTGAATATAGAGTGTAAATGTTTTATTAAGACAAAAATGTGTATAAATTTTTATAAGAATTTGGCGTCTTTAAAAGCCATAGTAGTAACGGGTTTGTTTATAGAGCCAATGTCAAAATGGGGTAAAAGGTATGTCTTCACTGCTGATAATTATTGGAGAAAGAACCATTTGGTTGACTGATTTGTAAATGACCAATGATTTAATATGAAATATTATTGACGACGTATTTGTTTTATTAAAGAAGACTGACAGACATGAGTAATACTTATTTACAAGAGTCATCTACCATAGGTGACGTAAGTAATAGTTAATAATATTACAATGGCTTTTATATCTATTTTTTAAAAATCTAGACTTCTATATTAATATATTAAATAATTTGTAATTTGAATTACAATAATCAATAATAAATTTTAATAAATTTGATTTTAAAAGTATTTTACATTAGTAAGACTAATATATTTGTTATAACTAGATTATAATGAAGACAACTGTTGGTGACATTGAGTTAGAATTATGGGTAAAAAGAACTCCAAAGGCAAGTAGAAATTTGACACAATTATGTATGGAAGGTAATTAGGATGACACTATATTTCATAGAATTATCAAAGGATTCATAACACGAGATGGTGATCCCATAGATCCGGGAGATGGTGGTGGAAGCATATATGAAGAACCATTTAAAGTGGGACTATATTTAAAAATAAAACGAATTCCTTTTTTATTCAAAAATAATTATTGGATATATGTGTTTTAGGACGAATTTCATACACGATTACGTTTTCGTCGATAAGATTTAATTGCTATGGCTTATGCTGGAAAAGATGGCAATGATTACCTTTAATGGTAATTACCTTTAAATAGGGTATCCTTCAATTTCTCGATTTTTCCACGGATTTATTTCATACAGAGTATGAAAATTTAATTTCGAGATTATGGTGTTTTAATGAGAAGTACAATTCTATTTGGATAATTGCAAATTATGGGCCGTAGGGTGTCAAAAGTTTCTCAAATATGGTAATTTTGATGGCTAAGTTCTTGGGATAGTAAACGCGAAAATGAAATTTCAACAGGATATTACTGTTATTACTCAGGTTGAAGAATAATTACCCACAGTGGATGTACTTCAGCTTCCCCTTGTTTTCCAGGGATTTCTGGATTTTCCATCGTGATTCGTATGTGCAAACTTCCTTTGCTTTTGCAATATTACGTGGTGATCGAACACTTGGAAATCGTAATCAGTTCTTGTTTTGTCTTTGCATGTAATTGACACGTGTGATATAATATACAAAATAAAATTAATTGTAGGATATTCTGAATAAATTTCTTCAGATGTATACAGTTTGCATTATTTATAATGCAGGAAAGTGAAAATATTGTTGCAATCTACAAAGTCATACGTAGATCGTCCATAATGTAGAGAATGACGGGTAACGAAGAGACGATAAGTAAATCATAATGTAGGAAACGACCGAAAATGAAGAGGTGATAAGTATTCGATAATCTAAAATGTATACAATGACGCGATAATGAAGAAATGATGAGTACCTCGATAATCGTTAATGTAGAAATAAAACAATACTTCAGAGATGATAAACAAACCGATAATCGGTAATGTAGAAAACCCCAATACTGTAATGATGATAAGTAAATCAACAATCGGCCGTGTAGAAAACAACTGTTACTCGATGAGATAATAAGTAACTCGATAATCGGTAACGTAGATAACACCGATAATGATCTGATGATAAGTAAATCGACAATCGATCGCGTAGAGAACAACTGTTATTTGTTCAGATAATAAGGACATCGATAATCGTTAATGTAGAAAATACCAATAATGAAGTGATGATAAGTAAATCGACAATCGGTTGCGTAGAAAACAACTGCTACTTGATGAGATGAAAAGTAACTCGATAATCGGTAACGTGGATAACGCGGATAATGATCTCATGATAAGTGAATCGACAATCAGTCGTGCAGAAAACAACTGTTTCTTGATGAGATAATAAGTATCTCGATAATAGGTTATATAGAAAACACCGATATTGGAGCGATGATAAGCAACTCGACAATCGTTAGTATAGAAAACAATTGTTTATGAATAGATGATATGTAATTCGATAATCGGTAATGTAGAAAACATCGATACAGAAGTGAAG